CGGTTAAAGACTTTCCCAGTACCAGAAAAAGCTTTGCATACAAAAAAGTTAGTAGACAATTATTGTTCAAATGTTCTATTTGACAAATTGGTAGGCAAGTGGTTAATAAATCAACTCCAATACAGATGTTGGTATAGGTAGAATTTCAGTCTGTAATCCTATAGAGAGTTGGCAGTCACATGTGAGTATCCTAAAACATGTAGGCTGACCATCACTGTGTTATCTTATGCTGACTTTTGGTAGATTGTTCTGCACCAGCTCAATTGGACTGACCAATGACAATGAACAATTATAGTTTTTTTTCTTTCTTTTAAGGGCTCATGTACACTGCAGCTGATAAACTCACGTTTAGGAGCTGTTCAGCGTTTTTTTTCTGCAGCCCCTGAACTCACCCTAATGTTTTCCTATGTGTTCATGTACACATCATCGTTTACAGTCATTTACAGGCAGTTGAGTTTACAGTCGTTTTTTTTTGAACGCAACAAACTTGCGTTCAGACGTTGATTTTATCTACGTTTCAAACACAAAATGCTTGTAAACCTGGCTAAAAAGTGGCAAATCGCGTTTATAAGCGTTTGCAATTTTTTTTTTAACTCTTCCAGTTCCCAATGCTGTCCAGAGCCTTTTTTCATCATGCAAAATGCATGCAAAGAGTTTTCAAGGTGCTCAGCTGGACAAAACACTGACCACAGGATGTTCCTACCAAGCTTGTCACACATTGTAATGACCAATTCACACCTCAGACCTCTCCCACCCTTGGAAACAAAAGATATGTTAATGACCATTCACACCTCAAATTCCTCATGAGGACCCCCTGCCAGGTGGCCTTAATGACTCCACCAGACACCTTCCCACCCTTGGAAACAAAAGATATGTTAATGACCATTCACACCTCAAATTCCTCATGAGGACCCCCTGCCAGGTGACCTTAATGACTCCCTCCACCAAACACCTTCCCACCCTTGGAAACAAAAGAAATGTTAATGAGCAACTCGCACCTAATTATCTCAACACATACTTCTCTCTCTGTTTCTACTCTCTGTATTTCTCTAAAACTGTCTGAAATAGTTAATAATTTATCACTTTTCAGTGCATTCTGGGCATTTGCGTGGTTCTCCTGTGCTTATCTTAGCTAAAAAACGCTTCTAAAACGCAAACGCGCATAAATGTGTTATGCAAACGCAGCTAAACAGACGTTTTTTAACCAACATTTCCCAGCAGTCAGTTTCCATCGTTCAGAAACTTCCCATGTACGTGAGGCCTAAGTGTTTCCAAGTGTGGCCATCACAGAAGACAGCCGGATGACCACTCCTGACAATGATTGCACTTTTTATTCAGGAAACATAACATTTCCTCCCACGTATTGGGTTTTAGTTGTTTCTTACGATATGTTTATATAAAAGGTATTCTGCTCTTTGGAGTTCTGGAGAATCCATGAGTCATGCAGTAACACTGGTGAAAAGTTAGCAATTAGTGTAAAACCCTGTGAATGTTATCTGCACAGGGAGGGCTGGGCAGCCGAAAGACCTTGAATGTTTCTTTTTTTATTAGCGTGCTGAAAAAATGTAATTTTATGTGTTGAAGGAAATTTAGTACATAGGAAGTCATTTAAAGTGAATCATCAACCATGAGGTTATATGAAGAATAAAAACAATATAACTCCTGTGTTGTTACGGGCTATGCACCTTATTTGGCAAACAGTTCTTCCATTTCATATGCATCATAGGAATACACAGCAATATTTATGAAGAATATCTTTGCAAAAAAACAAAAAGGTGCACTCAGATCCAAAACTCACATGTAGAGTCCATTTACATATTCGCAATATGTCATCATGTGTTATGCTGCTTGTTAACGTGTATTGTGTTGAAGCGGATCTTCACTGCAAAAATGGCTTTGCAGCATTGCATTCCCCCTTTCCGTATACCTGAAAAGGCAACTTTGTTTTGTTGCTTACCTTTTTTTGGTGGGATTTTTGTTCCACTCAGACCTCTGCCTCCATTTTTTATAGACAATAATGACATCAGCAGCCCCCTGGAATATATGTCAGATATACCATGAGGCATTGGCCTCTGCCCAAAGATGTGTCATCAGGTGTCCAGATGCAAGAACCCAGAAGAGGCCGGTGGCTCCCGATGACATTTGGAAAGAACATGGCCCCACAGGACCTGGTATATAGCGGCAGAGCAGCGGATCACGGCGGGACAATGCTGGATACAATGGACAGGCAAGTAAACCAGCCAAAAAAAGATGAGGGGGTTAAAAGGGGAAATAATCCGGGGGGGGGGTTCCTCTTAAAGACATTTATTTATTTGAATAGGCTGCCTAATGTACCGAAGCATACCAATAAAGGTGCCTAATGTACCGAAGCATACCAATAAAGGTGCATACACTATTCATAGCAAAACACACGTTGCGCCATTACACATTGCTGTGCTTTGGGGTGAACTGCAACACAGGTGTGTTGGGGTGCCATTCAGAATGAGTAGCAAAGTGAACAGCATTGGATTCAGAATTAATGGCACTGTAGCACACAAACAGCCTTAAATATGTTTAGTCAATGACCATTACTGCAACAAAACAGTGTGCATCCTGCCTTTCGCAAGGACTACATGGGTGATTATCATTTTGCTATTAAGTTATAGCGCCCCCTCCCCAGTCTTATACTCATTTGTCCCCAGTCCCTGTGGTTTCTTAAAGTGGTTCTAAAGCAGAAGGTTTTTTAAGTTAATATACAGTTGTGTTCAAAATAATAGCAGAGTGTGGAAAAAAGTGAATAAAGCTCAAAATCCTTCTACTAGCTTTTATTTCCATACACACAAATGCATTGGGAACACTACACATTCTATTCCAAATCAAAACATGAAGAAAAATATATCAAATTTGTGTTGTTCCTCTAAAACAATTGAAGAAAAGTGAATATTAGACTGTTTAAAAAAATAGCAGTGTTTGTATTCTTTACAAACTCAAACATTCACTATATAAACTGAAAAAATGTTTGAAGATTTTGCCTTCCTTTGAATCACTTAATTAATATTTAGTTGTATAAGCACTGTTTCTGAGAACTGCTGTACATCTGTGTTGCATGGAGTCAACCAACTGTGAACAGGTATTCCAGCCCAGGATGATTGGACTACATTCCACAGTTCTTTCTCTCTTTCTTGGTTTTCTTGGTTTTGCCTCAAAAACTGCATTTTGGTGTCACCCCACAAGTTTTCTATTGGATTAAGATCCGGGGATTGGGCTGGCCACTCCATAACGTCATTCTTGTTGGTCTGGAACCAAGATGTTGCACGTTTACTGGTGTGTTTGGGGTCGTTGTCTTGTTGGAACACCCATTTCAAGGGCATTTCCTCTTCAGCATAAGGCAGCATGACCTCTTCAAGTATTCTGATGTATTCAAACTGATCCATGATCCCTGGTATGCGATAAATAGGCCCAACACCGTAGTATGAGAAACATCCCCATATCATGATGCTTGCGCAACCATGCTTCACTGTCTTCACAGTGTACTGTGGCTTGAATTCAGTGTTTGGGGGTCGTCTGACAAACTGTCTCCGGCCACTAGACCCAAAAAGAACAATCTTACTTTCATCAGTCCACAAAATGTTGCGCCATTTCTCTTTAGGCCAGTCAATGTGCTCTTTGGCAAATTGTAACCTCTTCAGCACATGTCTTTTTTTCAACAGTGGGACTTTGCGGGGGCTTCTTGCAGATAGCTTGGCTTCACATAGGAGTCTTCTAATTGTAACAGTACTCACAGGTAACTTTAGACCTTCTTTGATCTTCCTGGAGCTGATTGTTGGCTGAGTCCTTGCCATTTTGGCTATTCTTCTATCCATTCGAATGGTAGTTTTTCGCTTTCTTCCAGGTCTTTCAGGTTTTGGTTGCCATTTTGAAGGATTTGCGATCATTTTAGCTGAGCAGCCTATCATTTTCTGCACTTCTTTATATGTTTTCCCCTCTCAAATCAACTTTTTTTAATCAAGGTACGCTGTTCTTCTGAACAATGTCTGGAACGACCCATTTTCCTCAGAGACCCAATTTCAGAGGGAAATGCACTGTAACCAGCATGTACAACATTTTTCTGCCTTCCTTCCTTAAATAAGGGCAATAATTGCCACCTGTTTTTCAAAGAATGAATGAATGACCTCACTAATAGAACTCCACACTGCTATTATTTTGAACATGCCCCTTTCAATTAGTGATTCAATTACACAGAATCAGCAGCATGCATGTCATGACTGTTGGGTCCGTTGGATTTCTATTACTCTACTACACCTGCTAGTAAATTATTTGCCATATAGAAATATCATTTCTACCAAAAACAGTGATTGATCAGGTTAGTGATGTTTGACTGCTATTGTTTTGAACACAACTGTATATTTTTTAATTACAACCTTTACAATCACTTTAAAGCCGAATTGAAGTAATAGACATTGATACTCTATACTGTCAAAAGTATTGGGATGCCTGCCTTTACACGCTCATGAACTTTAATGATATCCCAGTTTTGGTCCATAGGGTTCAATATTGAGTTGGCCCGCCCTTTGCAGCTATAACAGCTTCAACTCTTCTGGGAAGGCTGTCCACAAGGTTTAGGAGGGTGTCTATGGGAATGTCTGACCATTCTTCAGGAAGCACATTTGTGAGGTCAGGCACTGATGTAGGACGAGAAGGCCTGGCTCGCAGTCTCTGCTTTAATTCATCCCAAAGGTGTTCTATTGGTTCGAGGTCAGGACTCTGTGCAGGCCAGTTTAGTTCCTCCATCCCAAACTCACTCATCCATGTCTTTATGGACCTTGCTTTGTGCACTGGCACGCAGTCATGTTGGAACAGGAAGGGGCCATCCCCAAACTGTTCCCAAAAAGTTGAGAGCATGAAATTGTCCAAAATGTCTTGGTATGCTGATGCCTTAAGACTTCCGTTCACTGGAACTAAGGGGCCAAGCCCAACCCCTGAAAAACAATCCCAGACCATAATCACCCCTCCACCAAACTTTACACTTGGCACAATGCAGTCAGGTACCGTTCTCATGGCAACTGCAAAATCCAGACACGTCCATTGGATTTCTAGACAGAGAAGAGTGATTCGTCACTCCAGAAAACACGTCCTCACTGCTCTAGAGTCCACTGGTGCTCCAGAGTCCAGTGGTGGTGTGCTTTTCACCACTGCATTTAACGCTTTGCATTGCACTTGGTGATTTAAGGCTTGGATGCAGCTGCTTGGCCATGGAATCCCATTCCATGAAGCTCTTTATGCACTGTTTTTGTGCTAATCTAAAGGCCACACGAAGTTTGGAGGTCTTTAGCTATTGACTCTGCAGACAGTTGTCAACATCTGCAGACTGTGCGCTTCAGCATGCGCTGACCCCGCTCTGTCATTTTATGTGGCCTACCACTTCATGGCTGAGTTGCTGTTGTTCCCAGTTGCTTCCACTTTGTTATAATACCACTAGAAGTTGACCGTGGAGTATTTAGCAGCAAGGAAATTTCATGTATGAACTTATTGCACAGGTGGCAACCTATCATGGTACCACGCTTGAATTCACTGAGCTCCTGAGAGCGACCCATTCTTTCACAAATGTTTGTAGAAGCAGTCTGCATGCCTAGGTGCTTGATTTTATACACCCGTGGCCATGGAGGTGATTACATCACTTGAATCCAATGACTTGAAGGGCTGGCCCACTACTTTTGGCAATATAGTGTATATATATTGGGAGAACTAGCATCAAGCGTAGAGTTTTTAAAGCACACAGCCACTCGCTTTCTTCTTTTTCAGGGCCATTTTAGCCCAATTTATTTAAAAGAATGTTCCAGAAATTTCCCTCACAGAAGTTTTCAGCATTTCACTCTTCAAAAAAACCCCAGATATTTAGCCTCCTGGCTTATACACACAGTTCTGCTGCTCTGGCCTTCCACTTCAGGCTCACGGCTGTCTCCTGCAGACTCATTCCTAAATGGCTTTTTCTGCACACAGCTAACAGCCACTTGCACACAGCTAGCAGCCCCTTGCTGCTCTGGCTCCCACCTCTCTTAGGTGGAGCCCTCCTGACTCTGGGGCAATGACCTCCTGTCTGCTGGGGTGGAGTGCAGAATCATGGTTAGGCCTCTACAAAAAAAGGCCTGCACATACCTGTGCAATCAGTGTGCTGGGGGTTCTGAAAATATGGACCCAGGATTGGAGATCACTTTGAAATCTCCAGGCACCAGATCCCAAAATAGACTTTACTAATAAATGAAGAAACTGAAAAGCCAGTTTCCTCTGCCCTCTGGAACCCCTCTGGAGGCCCTCAACCTGTATGTTGCGAATCCTGGGTTATAAGCTTGATTTAGACCATGGCAGGCTACAGCACTGCCACAATATATATATATTATGTATATAGTATGTAGCTAGATAGACATTTGAGTTGATTTACTAAAGGAATATAGACTGTTAGCTTAGCGAATAGTAAAAAAAAGAGATTGGAGTACCCTCGGGTGCTAGGTCACTCCCAAGAAATTATACACTAGTGCCACATCCTGGTTTAACCTAAAAAGAAAAGAAGAAGTACAAATGGACTTTAAGAGCACAGAAACTACATACACATATTGATAAGATCACTTATACTTTATTTTAACAGTGTGTCACAAAAAACATTGTTCAGTTTAAAAGATCATTGTACAATGTCCTCGCAGACAATGTCCCAAAGCCCACCATATTGTAGGAGCAAAACAGGTGATAAAGCATACTGTAACCACCAGAAAGATCCTATGGGGGGTGAGAGATATTCAGCCGCTGCAGAATTGGTCCAACATGTTTTGCGACAATCGTTTCTTCAGGTGCTAGTAGTATTATCTAAAAGAAATGCCTATTTAAATATACACAGAAACACATCTGGTGGTTACAGTATGCTTTATCACTGGTTTTGCTCCTACAATATGGTTTTTGGGCTTTGGGACATTGTCTGCGGGGACATTGTACAATGATATTTTAACTGAATGATGTTTTTTGTGACATACTGTCAAAATAAAGTATACAGTAAGTGTTCTTATCAATATGAGTACGTAGTTTCTGTCCATTTGTACTTCTTCTTTTTTCTTTTTTAGCTTAGTGAAGAGGGTGATTTTGTGCTGACTTCAATCATTCAACTGCACTTAAAGTTATACACAAGTATTTTACAGTCAAAAGTTCAAGCAAGCATTGTACAAACCATATTGCATAACACGATGCATCAGATACCATATGATAAAGATAGGTTTACTTGGTGAGTATTAGCTCATTAACATATGATGTATTCTTAGAATTCATATAATAAATCATAGTAATGCCTAAAAATAAATAGTTACATAGTGAATCTGGATGAAAAAAGACAAAAGTCCATCCAGTTCAATCATTAAAAAAAAAAAAAAGTTATAATCCTATACCCACAGTTGATCCAGAGGAAGGCAAAAAACCCAACAAAGCATGATCCAATTTGCTCCTGCAGGGAGAAAAATTCCTTCCTGATCCCCCGAGAGGCAATCGAATATTCCCTGGATCAACTTTACCTATAAATGTTAGTATCCAGTTATATTCTGTGTATCTAAGAAAGAATCCAGGTCTTTTTTAAAGTAATCCACTGAGCTGGCCAGAAGCAACTCTTTAGGGAGTCTATTCCACATTTCCACAGCTCTCACTGTGAAGAAACCTTTCCGTGTTTGGAGATTAAATTTATTTTCCTCCTGACGTAAAGAGTGCCCCCTTGTCCTCTGTGATGACCTCAGGGTGAATAGCTCTACACCGAGTTCACTATATGAACCACTGATGTATTTATACATGTTGATCATATCCCCCCTTAATCTCTTCTCGAGAGAATAAAATTCAGTTCCTCTAATCTTTCCTCATAGCTGAGCTCCTCCATGCCTCTTATCAGTTTGGTTGCCCTTCTCTGTACTTTCTCCAGTTCCCCAATGGTCTTTTTGTGAATTGGTGCCCCAAACTGAACTACATATCCCAGATGAGGTCTTATTAATGATCTGCACAGGGGTAATATGATATCTCTCTCTCTGGAGTCTATACCTCTTTTAATACAATAGAGGATTTTGCTCGCTTTAGAAACCGCAGCTTGGCATTGCATGCCATTATTAAGCTTGTGATCTACCAGAACCCCAGATCCTTCTTCACTATTGATTTCCCCAGTTGTACCCCCCCCCTAGTATCTACAGTGAGGAACATAAGTATTTGAACACCCTGCGATTTTGCAAGTTCTCCCGCTTAGAAATCATGGAGGGGTCTGAAATTCACATTGTAGGTGCATTTCCCACTCTGAGAGACAGAATTTAAAAACAAAATTCAGGAAATCACATTGTATGATTTTTAAAGAATTTATTTGTCTTGCACTGCTGAACATAAGTATTTGAACACCTGAGAAAATCAGTGTTAATATTTGGTACAGAAGCCTTTGTTTGCAATTACAGAGGTCAAACGTTTCCTGTAGTTCTTGACCAGGTTTGCACACACTGTAACAGGAATTTTGGCCCACTCCTCCACACAGATCTCCTCTAGATCTGTCAGGTTTCGGGGCTGTCGCTGAGCAACACAGAGTTTCAGCTCCCCCCCCAAAGATGTTCTATTGGATTTAGGACTGGAGACTGGCTAGGCCACTCCAGAACCTTGATATGCTTCTTACGGAGCCACTCCTTGGTTATCCTGGCTGTGTGCTTCGGGTCGTTGTCATGTTGGAAGACCCAGCCACGACCCATCTTCAATGCTCTGACTGAGGGAAGGAGGTTGTTGCTCAAAATCTCACAATAAATGGCCCCATTCATCCTCTCCTTAATACAGTGCAGTCGTCCTGTCCCCTTCGCAGAAAATTACCCCCAAAGCATGATGTTACCACCCCCATGCTTCACAGTAGGGATGGTGTTCTTGGGATGCAACTCATCCTTCTTTTTCCTCCAAACACGACAAGTGAAGTTTAGACCAAAAAGTTCTACTTTGGTCTCATCTGACCACATGACTTTCTCCCATGCCTCCTCTGGATCATCCAGATGGTCATTGGCAAACTTCAGACAGACCTGGACATGTGATGACTTGAGCAGGGGAACCTTCCGTGCAATGCATGATTTGAAACCATGACGGCGTAGTGTTCTACTGACAGTGACCCTTGAAACTGTGGTCCCAGCTCTCTTCATGTCATTGACCAGCTCCTCCCTTGTAGTTCTGGGCTGATTCCTCACCTTTCTTATCATCAGTGATACCCCACGAGGTGAGATCTTGCATGGTGCCCCAGTCCGAGGGAGACTGACAGTCGTCTTTAGCCTCTTCCATTTTCTAACAATTGCTCCAACAGTTGATCTATTTTCACCAAGCTGCTTGGCAATTGCCCTGTAGCCCTTTCCAGCCTTGTGGAGGTCCACAATTTTGTCTCTGGTGTCTTTTGACAGCTCTTTAGTCTTGCCCATGGTAGTAGTTGGCGTCTGACTGACTGTGGGGTGGACAGGTGTCTTTAAAGAGCTCAGACAGGTGCTACTAAGTTAGATTAATGAGTGGAGTATAGGTGGACTTTTTAAAGGCACAGTAACAGGTCTTTGAGTGCCAGAATTCTTGCTGTTTCTTAGGTGTTCAAATACTTATGTTCAGCAGTGCAAGACAAATACATTCTTTAAAAATCATACAATGTGATTTCCTGAATTATTTTTTTAATTCTGTCTCTCAGAGTGGGAATGCACCTACAATGTGAATTTCAGACCCCTCCATGATTTCTAAGTGGGAGAACTTGCAAAATCGCAGGGTGTTCAAACACTTCTGTTCCTCACTGTATGATGCATGCATACTCTTAGCCCCCAAGTGCATCACCTTACATTTATCTACACTAAACCTCATTTGCCACATAGTTGCCCAATTAAACAGTGCATTGAGATCGGCTTGTAAATTGGAGACATCCTGTAAGGACGTTATTCCACTGCACAGCTTGGTGTCATCTGCAAAGACTGAAATGGGATTTTTAATCCCAGACCCTATATTGTTTATATATATATATTAAAAAGTAAGGGTCCCAACACTGAACCTTGGGGTACACCACTGACAACCCTAGACCATGCAGAGTATGAATCATTAACCACTACTCTCTGAATACGATCTTTTAGCCAGTTTTCTATCCATTTACATACGGATTTTTCCAAGCCTGTAGACTTTACCTTACACATTAGCCATGTGTGGGGAACTGTGTCAAACGCTTTTGCAAAATTTAAGTATACCACGTCCACCGCCACCCCTCTGTCCAAGTATACCACGTCCACCGCCACCCCTCTGTCCAAGTATACCACGTCCACCGCCACCCCTCTGTCCAAGTATACCACGTCCACCGCCACCCCTCTGTCCAAGGTTTTGCTCAACTCCTCATAAAAAGAAATCAGAATTGTTTGACAACTTTTGTCTTTCATGAATCCATGAGATTGGCGCCCTTTTGTACCCATCTTATTTCAAAGGGCACTTTATAGCTGACCACACACAGATCAAAATTTGACGGGTTCAGCAGGAAAGGGACAAATTTTGATCCATATGGAGCCCTGTCTTTTTTAACAGAAGCCGTTTGTTAGACCGGGATATTGTGCTAAACCTATAGGTAAATAAGAGAACCAGAACCTTC